GTGCTAGGGGCTATGGAGGGGGTTTGGGAGCTGGGGAGGGGGGTGCTGACGGTAGCGGTAGGTCAGGTGAACCAGATGGAAGTGGCCGGAAAGTGGTGGCGGTGAACTGAGTTGGGCGGGTAATCACTGCTGTCGGGGTCATTGTGACCGAGTGACCGGCGGCAGTCACTGGCGGGGCGGAGTCATTGTGGCGGTAGAGTCACTGTGGTCAGGCGGAGTCACTGTGATGAACATGTTTTCAGATTTGAAAATGGAAAACTAAAAAATAGAAATAGAAAATTGGAGATAGAAAAACTGAAAAATAAAAACTGAAAATTGGAGAACGAAAAACATAAGTAGAAAACAGGAAAATATCCCTGTTAGTAAACAGGCCCTAAATGTTTCATAAATTTCAACATAGTCAGTCCTTTTGTTATTACCAAGCGGGAACTAAATGTTATGAAAACTATTTAACTTTGTGTGAAATAGACTGGAAATTTGAGAAAGAAAAAATGAGCGTGTTTGGGGTATTTTTTCAAAAAAGTTTATGCTCACTTGTTCTCAAAATTAATATTTCCTCTGTTCCATAGAAAGGTTCTCACTTTCATTTAATTTGGATGTTATGTATAAAAGTTCTCATTTCTATTTTAGGAAATAAATAACAATCTTGAATGACAAATTAATCATTAAATACTAAAAACAAAACATTTATAAACATCACAGTTGTCAACATTAAATACATTATATTATTTATCTATTTTTTATTTCTCAAAATATAACCATGTCGTTTTACCACGAGAACCTTTCAAACGGGAGGGAGGTAGTTACATTTAAGAAATAATAGAAATTAGTTCAAATAGGACTAAAACTATGACAAAAATCTAAAATAGGACTTGCTATGTTTTTATTCCAAAATAGGACCATATGAGTCCTATTGGAAACATACCTATTTTTGCATTCCATTCTTACCCTTCCATTAAATATGAATTAAAAATAGTCAAAAGCTATAATTAAATGTTTAATTCATCATAAATTCGAAAAAAATTCAAAAATTCGTAGAAATATAATTAAAAAATTTATAAAATTTTTATAAAATAAAAAATTCAATTTTTTTTTTAAATAATTTTATTTTTTAAAAAATTAATAAAAAATAGTAAAACTCCGTAAAACAAATTTAAAAAAATATGGATGCCTTTCCCACCGCCTGTACTACCTCCCACCACCACCACCTCCGACCGATGAAAAAAATGCCATTTTCCCAGAAAAATGCCATTTTTTTCTGAAAATGCCAAAAAAGTGGCATATTTCTCTTTTCGAATGCCAACATTTTCATTTTTTCTGCCATAAATATGGCATTCGTAATGAACTTGGCATTTTTTTCCCCTGGTGACTGGAGGTGGTGGTGCTGAGGCGGCAGAGGCGGCGGCATTTTTTTTTGAGTTTTTATTTTTTTTTATTTTTTTTTTAATTTTTTTAATTTTTTGAAAAAAAAAATTAATTAAATTTTTAATATCGAAATGTTTTTCTTAATTTTTTGGTATTTTTTACGAATTTTTATTATTTTTTATTATTTTATTAGGAGTTAAAACATTTTAATAACTATAAGGGTATAATTGTCCAAGGTACAAATAATTAGTCCTATGCAAACATAGTTTATTTTTTGGTCCTATTTGTGAAAAGTGAATGACTTTTAGTCCTATTTTGATAATTAACTCAAGAAATAATGATTGACCCGACAACAATTGCTAAACCTCCTTAACATTTTGTAATGCGGTGTAACTATTCATGATTTTAAAATAGGGTGTGGATTTGAATTCAAAAGCCTAAAATAGGATCAAACTCAAATTTCATGTGAAGTACCATAAATTGAAACATTATAGAATGGTTTGGAGATTGATCTGTTTCACTAAATAATTGAAGACCAGTGGTACACACAAAGAAGGGTACGTGGTGGCTACCACCCCCAATTTTTTCCCTACTAAGAATATGTAATTACTCCAAAGTTTTACGTAGTAATATATATGTATTAGTATGTATTTATTTTACACTACTCCCTTCTATCTGGAATTTTTGCATCTGCCAATGGTTGAAGTAACAAAACCCATCGTTACTATCAGTTGAAGTGTCATTTATGTCATTAAGTCTGAATTTCATTCACCACAAGAAAATGGACAATGCCTATGAATTAAAAAGTTAAACTTCTACTCCGTATTATACTCTCTCCGTCTCGCTAAGATTGACTTTTTTTCTCGCTCTGTCCTACTAAGATTTTGCCTTATACTAAATTTAATAAAGTTTGTGTGGTTGTGAATGATTCTTACTTTGATCCTATTAGAGATTCAAAACTTTGTGGGGTGGATTTGAAGATTGGAGATGAGGTCTTAGGGGACGGTGATGATGGAGAATCAATGGTTGACATCGCTGAAAAATTATTGCCCCTATGATGGATGATCCAATTGAAGCTATTGTTAAGACCACCTATCCCAATTTTGAAATGCATTATAATGACGTTTGTTGTTTGAATTCTAGGGCAATTCTTGCGTCAACTATTGATCAACACGAGTATATCAACGGTTACATGTTGGGACTGACTTCAGGTGAGGTAAAGACATACTTAAACTTAGATTCATCATCTTCTTCTTATTCAGACGGCGCACTCTTTCAAGAGATCCACTCTCAAGAATTTTCCAATACCATTAAATGCTCTGGTGTGCCAAACCATTAAGTGCCCCTGTGACGTTAATGAGAAATATTGATCATTCCGTCGGATTGTGCAATGCCACTTGCCTTATAGAGACTAAACTTGGAACACATATTCTCGAGGCTCAGATGATGTCTGGAACATATGCAGGACAAACATTTCTTATTTCTGAAGCTTAGCTTGACTTCATTCGACCTAAAGCTGTCATTCACCTTTCAGGGACGATCTTTGGAGACGGTTGGTGTTATCTTATGTCGTCCGGTTTTCACCCATTGGACAACTTTACGTCGCGGTGTCAAGAGTGATGTCCACGTCTAGGTTACAGTTTGTTATATGTGATAGGAGTGGACTCGGACCGGTTCGGGCCTCGGTTCAAGAAGGGGAGGCCCGGAACCGGCCCGGGTAAACCCCGGGTCCGGGCCGGGCCGGGCCTCGGGTATTTTTTTTTTTTGGGGGGGGGGGGGGGGGGGGGGGGGGCTTTTCCTGGTTAACCCCCACCCCTCCCCCTCACCCCCAAACCAACCCTAACCACCTCAAATAGCCCAAAATAACCAGCCCAACCCAAAAACTCAAAAAAAATTCAAAAAAAAAATTAAAATTGGCCCGGGCCTGAACCGGCTGGGCCGGTTCACCTTTTGAAGGGCCCGAGCCCGAACCGAGAATCCACCGGGCCGGGTGGCCCGAACCTCCCAACGAACCGGTTCCCGGGTCGGGCCGGGCCCGCACAGTGGCGGGCCGGTCCGGTTCCGGGCCGGGCCCGCACAGTGACGGGCCGGTCCGATTCCGGGCCGGTTGGCCCGCACCGAGTGCACCACTAATATGTGATGAAGATGGAAAACTGACCAAGAAGACTTTAAATGTGGTTTACAAGGAACTGAAGGAAGTATATAATAATTTGTAAAAAAAAATTATCTTCATTTACTTATGTTAGAACTAATATATACATCGATATGTATTTATCACAACATTTCTTTATATTATAAAATTATTTATTACTTACTAATTGCATCCTGTGCGAAGCACGGTTGAAAAATCTAGTCTCTTCAAAGTAGGGGTGGACTCGAGCCGGGCCAACCGGTCCGGAACCGGACCGGCCCGCTACTGTGCGGGCCCGGCCCGGCCCGGCCCGGGGGTTACCCGGGCCAGTTCTGGGCCTCCCCTTCTTGAACCAAGGCCCGGCCGGGCCCAGGCCCGAACCGGGCCCGAACCGGAACCGGTCCATCCCTACTTCAAAGTTGCAAAGTCCATATTAGAATATAAATAAATTTTGACATCCTAATTAAGTGAATAAAATAAAATTGTTTGACCAAGAAAAATCAAGTTTTCAAATCAATTTGGGGCAGATGTAATATAAGCCTACAAGGATGGGGGGATTCTGCTAATAACGTTGAAACAAAGCAATGAAAGTTTTTAGTTGAACACGTGATCTAGATAAAAAACAGGATTAATTTTACATTAAAACAAAATAAGAAGAAAAAAAAACAATCATGTAATAATTTGATGTGGTTGTGTTGCAGTTACGTTACGGTTTTCACTGTGAATTAAATACACCGCAATTATGGGGTATGTGCTTGTGCTGTGAGCTGCAACTCCAATAGTGAGGGCGCAAAATGTGGTGTTGTAGGCAATTTAAAACCATGCGCCCTACTAGCTGAGAGTTAATTGTGTGATGTACATTCAGGTACAAATAACACTATGTGCAAGTGTACTGCTTACCAGGTGGAAGATCAATGGGGAATGCACTCATGACTCAACAGCTATTCGCTAACCAAGATCGCTAGACGTTTGGGGTCTGAGGATGAAGATTCCATGTTGATGAACAAGGGGAGACAACCCGGCAACCCGCTGTGGTGGAGCGGTCATCACCGGTTGTTTCTTATGGATTCAGTTGTAGGTAAACAGGAGTTATCAAGCACCTCTAGTCTCTAGCCAGAAATATCGCACGAGGAAGAGGACATCCCATCACATATGTACTAAAAAGTTTCACTGAAGGGCCTGGGTACTAGATCCAGTCATCCAGACGTGTAGACTCAAGCCAATTTTGTGCTGGACATCTTGCTTGGCCAGATTCTTTGGTGGTGGGTTTATTGATTTGTTTTGGGCTAAGTTTTTTCTCTGTGCCAAACCATTTTCCTTGAGCTGGAGAGTGAGCTGTGTTTAGGGCCATTGGTCTTCTAGGATGGCTGGATGGGCCGAATAGCTAGGCTAGACACTACAGTTGGAACGTACAGTTCGATTTATGTAATTCAAAGATCAGGCCTCCATCCAGCCCATTTCCGCAATTGATATCCCCAATCTTAAAAAGAGACAGCGGATGACAGTGACTATAAATATACAAATATATATAATTATATACACAACATGATCAGGTTTTGAGTGAAGATGCTGCCATCTTTCACCAGCCAGAAGTCCATTTATAATCAGAACATGGCTGGCAAACTGCAAAGCTAAATACAAGATTACACATCTTTTCAAACTAGGGAGCAGACACCAATTTAATTAATGCACACCACGGTATATAGCACCCGGGCACAGCTCATCCATGCTATCAATATTTCGGTAACTATCTCGTAAACATCTCCACCCACGGCGTGACAAGAAGTCGCGGAAGTCTTCCTCGTTGTAGAATGTCTTTTCCTCTGTCGAAAACGCCACATCTTCTGCCTCCTCATACATACATATTTTTACAGACAGGCCTGCAAATTTTAAACAATTTTGGTTGCTAGCATCTTTTAAGTTTTAACTTTGCTTTTTTGGTGGGGGGCGGCAGAATATAGGATGTTGATATCTCTATATACTTATGAAAATTGTCACAGTAACTTAATACTATGTAGTTTTTTATGGTTAAATGAATCAAAGTGATCAATCCCCCATATGATATCCAAATTTTGTACAATAGTCCCTAGTTAAAAATGCATCCCTTCATCAACCAAGCTAAGGACTATCTCCTGTGCACTTTACCATATACATGCACATGAAGATGTCGTACATCATCAGCCGTCACAAGACAGATATCAACAACACCACATACGTTGCAGGGGCTTTGCCCATATAATGGTGACACATGTGCAGTGCATTAAGTGCACCCCTCATTTCTACTATAAATATCCTACTTTGGACAGTTGTAAGGATTCAAAAAACATTTATAGCAGGTTTTAATGTGGTTTTTGAATTATGAGGGGCTATTGTGTAGAATGTGTATGCCAAATGGGATGTAGATGTCTCCAACATTTCAGCCAACCCACAGACCATGAAGTTAATCACTAGATAAACCCCCCTTCCGGCCATTCTCAGAGTCAAACTAGCGACCTCTAAGACTTTTTAATCATGGGTTCTAATACAATTGAGCCATCCATCCGGGTTAAGTAATTGAATTGAATGACATTACCTTCGTCAACATGCAAGGTGTAGCTCCCCAAAGGCATATCTCGATCAAGTGCTCGTACTACATTGTCTTCATCTTCCAGCCAGAAGGCACGCTTTGTCCTCAATCCAAAAGCAGATTTAATTGCTTCTTTAATGGCATCTGCACTGCCATCAATACCAATCCTCTTTGTGTAATCTACCCACCTCACTGAAATCACTCTGCCTTCAAATACATTGCCTTGATCACCTATGGGGCAAAAATGGTGAAAGTGTAAAGTATGATACATATACAATACTGAAAGTTAACTACCTTTATGTTAAAAAAAATGGGTTAAAAAACACTGCCATGATCATAGAAGAACAGATTGACCAGGTCTGAAAACTTGACCGACTTGTTAAACAAGGCATTATCATTATATCTCATCCCATTAATACAAACGAGAGAAAATACTAAATGAAATCGACATGGCATCTTCCACAATTTCTCTCACTTCATTAACCATATATATATATATATATATATTTGAAGGAACCATATATATTTATTGAATACCTTTGCACTAATTATAATCCTCTGAAACTAACTTTTAGGAGTAACATAACAGTTTCCAAATACTAGTTCACTCCCTATTTAAAGTTCCAATTTTGAGGTTCTTCCATGTCTACATTTTACCATCATTATATACAATGAAGTACTTATATGGTCTATAATAAATTACCATTTCAAAAATATATACTAATTCAAATTTATGTTAAAAAAATTTACTCCCTTCGCCCATAATTTTATTTCAATTTTTCTTTTAGGGATGTCCCTAAAATATTGTTCTCATTTTTCCTTTTAAGGAAAGATTATAGTTTTGAATTGTTTTCTTATTTTCACATCAATGACAAATACACAATTTCATTTAGGGCGGATTAAGTATTATTTAAACACAATTAGCAGTCAAAATTAACAAGCATTGACTCCAAAAGTAAAAAATGGGGACTTTAAATAGGGACAGACCGACAGCGTGAGTATAAGTTAAAGGCTCAACCATTTCCAGGAGTTCCTCTCCAGTTCCAAGGTGAGACACCGCTTGCTGTAACAGCATCAGCAGTAATGGCTAGAGGATGCCCATCATGATCTAAACGTCTTTCAAGGTTCAGAGTTGGCCTCCCACTCTCTGCACAAACACCTTTGAAAAACACAAGCTCTGATTTTACAACACTGCTAATCATCAAAGGCACAGATGGTTTAAACGTCTTTCAAGCTTTTATTTTCGTTCAAAAGATTAAATAAAGATGGTTTAGTAAAAAACTCCATAAATGCCCAATGAAGACAGAGCCTTTTTTTATCCAAATGGAAATGATGAACTTTATTTAGAAATACTTAACATGTTGCAGCGGAATAACAAAAAGGAAATTGAGCGTGTTACCGCCACACTTAGCATATCCATAGCTAAGTGCACAGGCTAACCAAAAACATTTGTCCAAATATTCTAAAGTGAGGGAAATAGAAAAGTAAAGATGTCCACTACATGTTCTTAAACCAAAAGTTCGTAGACTAAAGTCTTATTAGACAGAACCTATCATCCTGAATCCTAAAAATATACTCTGTAGTAATAATGCACTGTCTACTCATTAAAAAGGCTATAAAATGTTACTAAGAAGCAAACTACTTGGGGAAGGAGCACGTAAGCACGTAACAATCTTTAATAAAATTCTCCCGTCTTAAAATTTTCTTCCCACTTTCCGTTTTAAGCTGTCCCTAAATTTTCCCCCAGTTCCCTTTTAAGGAATGTTTTTTGCTGTTGATATTGTTTCTCTATTTTATATATAAGCTACAAAACACACAAGTCCAAATCAAACTGGGAAGAAAATTTTGAGACTGAGGGAGTACCAATGACCACCATCAACTCTTTTGCATCTTGGCACAAATAGTTGAGGACATATCAGTTTAACAATGAGCTTCACAACAATCAGACAAAAAAAAGGGATGGGGATAGAGAGCTTATCAAAAAATTAAACATGCTTTTGAATAAGTTAACGTACCCTCAACAGGTCCAAATGTAATATTGTTATCATCTAGGCCTGTATGAATGCACAAACAAGAATACTTAGTTACTTACTTTCATTTAATCCACAATTAGAATGACAAATATTTGAAAGAATTAACACAAAAACACAATTAAGTCGTAATCAGGTAATCTAACTTTCACGAATTGATCACCCAGACCAAATAAAAATCAAAGTTCTAGTGACATTAGAAATAAGCAGCAAAGAAGGCAAGCCAAGAGCGACACTTATTTGCAAATCTATAAGAGCCTATAAGAAGTACTACAGATTGGGAGATCATCATTCTCTTTCTTCATTTTTATTTGGTTGGTTTTTACATTTCACCAGCAAAAGAAAGGCTTTACGCTGTATGTATAGACAGGGGAACACCTCAGCATTTAACTTTGGCAAAAGCACAATTTTCCAACTTCCACTTAAAAGAGAAAAGCTATATCAGCTTCAAACCGTAACCCTAGAAATACCATAGTATCAATGCTTCTTGTCTGACTGTCACCTCAATCGCAAATACACTCGGGTCGATGGCTCGATGGTATGAAACTTAGTTTTGTCTATAATCAGTAATAGCTATGAACTCGTGCGCAACAATCAGTGTATGCTATTTAACTTTGTATCACAACCTCCTAGAGCAAGAATGATTACATGAAATTCTAAAACGATCACCATACATATGTTTTTTTCTTTCAATTCGCATTAAATAGAGAGTCGCCAATATCAGGCAGTATACAAGTATTAGGAACACACAATAGCTAAATTTACTCAAACTTAATGTTTGAGCGCCTTGGCAAAATCAGGACTCTAGTACTTAAACAGTTAGCTCTTACAATCACACTATTATAAGTTATAACTAATAGTGTGATTGTAAGAGCTAACTGTTTAAGTACTAGAGTCCTGATTTTGCCAAAATAGTGTGATTGTAAGAGCTAACTGTTTAAGTACTAGAGTCCTGATTTAACAAAATCCTTGACTTGTGCAGATTAGGAAAAGTTATTAAGCTACAGGACATACTACTGGCCGATACTCTCATTCAAAGAAACCAGAAATGCACCTTACATACTCTTATTTAAGGACAGTTTAAAAGCATCAACTATGGTCCAATTAATTAGGGTTATTCATAAATTCAGTTGAAAGACATTAGTAATTAAATTCAAGGATTTTTTTTAAAACTCTAGATAGCCAGGTAGAGCACCGAATACAGGGAGAAAAATCAAGTAGTAGCCAACAAGAAATTACCCTTTTCAGAGAAGTGCATAAAGGAATCAACTTTTGGAGCAGGAGGGCTCTTGTGGCCCCCACCGCCATTCTTGTTTCTGTCAACCAGAATTTCCTCAATTTCTTTGTAATAGGACATCTTAGCCGACCCGTTTCTATCATGGTTCTGCTTAGCCTTCTTGAATTCTTTGAGCAAGTTCCTCCACTTATCAGTACACATGGTGGGCGACCGATCGAAACCCTTCTCCCTCATCTTCATGGATATCCGATCCCAAAGATGTTTATTCGATTTGGAGGTGTTGAAGAGAGAGTCAATTTCTCTCCGGAGGCTGATTAGAGCGAGGGTCTCTTCGAGAACCCATGTCTCCGCCCGTTTCTTAGGAGCCCTTAGTTCCGGTGATGGATTCATAGTGGCGTTGTCCTCTCCGCCGCTGCTATTGGTGTCACCGCCATTACAGACGGTAGGAACCAAAAGTGGCTGATGATGGTGAGATGGGAGTGGTACATTAGGGGCGGCGACTTCCATTATCATTTCGCGGCTTTGGTGGTGGAGGAGGTCGCCGGTAACAGATGCGGATGCTTCAGTTTTGTAGAAATCGATGGGCTGTGGTTTCTCGGACATGTACATAGCTTGCTTTGAGTGCACTGAGATTAGCCGGAGAGAGAGGGTCGAACGATTTGTCACATTGAAAATGAAGTACACATTTAAAAAACAAAATTGCTATTTGCACATAGTAACTATAATGAGACCTTTTTGTAACACTGTTTATCAGCTTATCAGGTTTATCAGTTAACTTTTTCACCAAACACGTAACTTTTCCTTTCATGCGCTGAATTGTGTAATAAGCAGAAAAAGTAAGGTTGAAGTTACTTTTCTGGCTGTATTGGCTGAAGTTACTGTAGATGACCATTTTAGCTATTTCTACATATAATTTCTTCTTTATTTTATTAATAAAATATATTTTAAAAGTATTTTTTTCTTAAATCAACAGAATCAGCCAATACAGGCACTTCAGCCAGAACTTCATAAATTTCAGCAGAATGAGCCAAATTAACCGATTTTCGTGCTACCAAACGGACTCTATATACAGGAACAGTATACCATACAGCCGGCTATATTACATTTTGATAATTATAGTGAAATTTTCACTTTCGCTCAATGAGCAAAAATTCACTTGTAACGCGCGGCTAACGGGCTAAGTATCATCAAAGAAACCCCTTGGTAAAAAATCTCTCATATTTCTCTATTGTAAATTTAGATATTTAGATGTTTTTTATGAAGTACAATGATTTATGGATGTTCTTTAGCTTTTAAGTTTTAATTCTACTTTTATGCTCAACTTATGTTTGTGAAGTTATTTATTTAACTAGTTGCTTTCATTTTTGAATGTGTGCCCGTTGGTTATTAGAGTTTATAGCTTAAGCATCCTATTCTATTTTCTTGCACATCAAATGTTTGTGAAAAGGTTGCAATGAATATTTGTTGAATGTTAGAAGAATGAATATAAAATACTCAAACATCATGGATAAACATTTTTTTATTCTTAGTTTGTTATTATAATGTTCTTTTTTATTTATTTGATTTTTTTTTCTAGTTCAGTTTTTTTTTTGCTGTTTTAGCATTTAACTAAGTTTTACTATATAAGTGTTTAAAGTTAACTCTTCTTCTTGAGTTATTTTTTATAGATCAATCAAGTGTGGAATGAGATTACTTAAATATAAATTCATTTTTCCAAAATGAATTCTTCCACATCTACTTTGTGGTCTTTTGTTTGAGTTGATAGAGTACTTTTTCAGAAAAAAACATATAAAAATGATTCATAGCTTACTTAAATTACAATGTTTGAATGTTTCGCTTTATTCATACTCTGCTTTTTTTTTAATACTCGAGGGGGCGTCTGGGGAAGGGGGTCTGGAGTAATCAGGGATTAAACTCACTCCATTTAATTTTGAACTCGAGACCTCCCGTAAGGGAGAGTGAATCGACGACCAGGTGAGCTGGACCGCTTCCTCACTTTATTCATACTCTGCATTTCATGATAATGAGTGGAGAGTTGTTCATATTTTATTTGAGAATATGGCACCCCATTTTTCTAGATTAGCAATTGAGAAAACTATGTTTAAATATTCCAGTGCTCTAACTGGTTTTCCTAGTGTGGATGATGCCAATAGCTACTAGATTGTTAAACCAGTTTTGGGATCATCTGCAAAGCAAGGTGATACTATTAAAACAGGAACTATTGTCAAACTGCCGCACATGTGTGGCTGGCGGCAGAAGGGATGTATCTCCCGGTTAGTGAAAGCAAGTGATGAATATGTAGTGAATTGTTCATAATGTGTCAGAATAATATGCTTATTAATAAGATAATGTTCATATAATTTTGGTCTGTGCATGATTGAAACATTGTCCGTGTGTTCGTTTATTTTGTTTGTGCACACTAGAAGCATCCTCTATGTCATTATTTACATTGTCTACGTGTGGTTAAAACGTTGTCAGTGTATTCATTACAATACATACATAAATACAAAGTAAATACGTACAACATGCACAAGTATCTCATGATAAATACATAATGCACAAGTATCAGAATCATCATTAAAATTTCTTCTGCCAGTTGCAAACTTTTTATAAGAAATAGCAACAAGATGCAACAACATACAACAAAAAGAAATAACTTGCAACAAAAAGAAACAAAGTAATGATACTACTGCTTTCTGGTTCCTTTAACATTTCATGTCCTTTTTGTTGCTGTATATTTCCATTGGCTTAGCATGAAGCTCTTTAAGCACGCCTAGAGGATATGATCAAGTTACGAACTAAAGTAGTCTTCTGCATTTTTATCTGGTAAAATCATTTTTGGTGATTTGATATTGACCATGACCATAGTCATTTGATCATTTGGGTCTAAAACCAGCTGCCAAACGGGGTTTATGTAATTCCTGCATTTTGTACCTTAATCTGCAAGTGGAAAGGGATGTTAACAGTTGCATGAGCACTTGTTCTTGAAGATGAACAATAAAATGCAACAAAAAGCAACTAAAAGCAACAAAAAGGAAAACAGCATATAAGACCCACATTTAAATTTCTTTCTTCGTATTCATTATTACAATTACAAATATAATTATTCAATATGTAACACCGTCCCCAAATGTATTCATCTTTAAGCTAATAATTTATTGGACCCTATGAAAATATTTAGTGAATTTACGAAGTTGTGAATTTGTATTAATTTTTCGCGTGAATAGTAAAATGCACGTGGGGCCCACATCGGGAGTGGGGACCGCCCGATATTATCGGGGCCACATATTATATTGATCTTGGACTAGACAATATGTATATGGTGGTGGATATCCTAGTTGACCCATGACAATGGCATAGGATTGACCGGTTGGTCAAACGGGGCCAAATTATCGGTATCGGCAATCTATCAGATAACAGCCCGAAAAGGGATTTCGGAGACTTCTAAATTAAAGTTGAGGGATGCATATTGATTCTAAGGTCCATTAAGAATTGGGAACAAGTGTTATATTTTATTTGACCCGATAAAATAAAATATACTTAAAACAGTCCGAAAAATACAACTTTCGGGGCAAATTGCACATTTTGGGACAAATTGGGATGACCTCCCACATGGGTGGGGGCCACCCCACGAAATTGTCAACCCTTGAGGGCTGGATGAGTGCCAAATTGGCTGAACAACAATTGAGAGGATGGGGGAGACACCTTTGACATGTAGTAGGCCCCCTCCCTTCACTCATTGTCTAAAGGAGACGAGAAGGAACCACCCCTACCTCCTTACACTCATCATTTCGACCCAAATACACCAAGAAGGAGAGAAGAGCTCTGCAAACTCCATCCCCATAGCCCAAATCCGAACTCAAGCTAAAGGGAGTCCAAGAAGAAGGTTTAAGAAGGAAAAAGCTAGGAAAAAGTGTGAAAATTAAGGTAATGACCTTATCATAACTTTTCCCTTGTTTTTCTTCTAGCATATAAGGTATATATCATATAAAAGACCTTTAGTATTGTTCTACATGATTTAAGTGTGGAATGATGGGTTGGAAAGTGATTCTAAGTCCAAAAACGGACTTAGAAGCCAAATCGACCGGTTTGCCGGAAAATAACCTTTTATAGGTTATTTGTGTTGACATGGGTTTTGTGATGATAAAACCTTGTTAGGAACTTGATTTAAAGTATTTTGAGCTTCGCCGGAGTTTCGTCGGAGTTGGTCAAAGTTCGCCGGAGTTGGTCAAAGTTCGCCGGAGTTGGTCAAAGTTCAATCAAGAAACGTAGAACGCGCTTAAGCTTAATTAAGGTGAGGATGACCGACTATGATACTTATAATCTTTGGGTTAATTTCATGGGATTTCCTAAGTGAATATAAATGTGATGTGCGTGAATTGTTGATGGTTAAAAATGCATAAATAGAACTACTAGTGATTAAAAGTATAGTATGCATGATACACAAATTTATGAATAAATTGTGTATGTTTAGGTGTTATGAATATGTGTGTATGATGGTTGTACCAACCATGAATATCATTTGGGATAGTATACTTTGATGCCATGAGGAGAAGCCATGAAGGTATGAAAGTGATACTTGATATTAAGGCCAATTATGCAAGAAGAAGGAATTATATTGAAATAAATAAATAACTAGCATTGAAATATTAGTTGGAAATGTTAGTTGAGAAATGGATGAATTAGATCCTAAGAATTTGAATTATAAGGAATCGGTGATTATGAGCCGGGCTCAAGACCGATGTAGATGACGGTGATTATGAGCTGGGCTCTAGACCGTAGTAGATGACGGTGATTATGAGCTGGGCTCTAGACCGTAGTAGATGACGGTGATTATGAGCTGGGCTCTAGACCGTAGTAGATGACGGTGATTATGAGTTGGGCTCTAGACCGTAGTAGATGACGGTGATTATGAGCTGGACTCTAGACCGTAGTAGATAACGGTGATTATGAGCTGGGCTCTAGACCGTGATAAAAAAAATGATGAATTGATATTAAATGAACGGATTAACTATAATGTAATAATGCCCTAGCTGAGGGCCTCAGAGATTTAAACTTTGATTATACTTAGTATAGTTGTCATTGTACTTGTCAAATGCTTCCAAGTACTGACCTCCCCTTCACGGGGGAGGCCACCTCACAGCTTCAGGTAGAACTTGAAGGTTGCTACCGCCAGCCGCTGCTTCGGGAAGTTTCTGAGGAGAAGACTTGGTTCGTGCTTCTCCCGTTCTTGTTTTGAAAAAACAATATGAATAATTCTCATGGATAATATTTTCTGAATAATTGTTTTGGGGGCTTGCATGCCTAATTATGCCAAGTGTGGCTTGAACACTTGTATCAATTGTTTCCGCTGTTTTAATAAATGTTTTACATTATGTTTGTTTATGGATGTACTATGTGTGAATGGTATTCAAGACGCCTTGTATAGTATGGATGAGTCGGACTGCGGTTGACTATTCGTACTGTACAGCGGGTTGCTGACGTGTCCGGGTAGGTCCGGAGCGTGACAATTTAAATGGTATCAGAGCCTTAGTCCGTAAACATCATAATGAAGCTTCAAAATTTCTTTTTGAAAATGAATTTGAGAAAACCATGAGCATAAGTTTTGTACTTATAGAACTTTTGGTACTTGAGTTGCAATGCCTCTGATTGTTAAGATGGTACCCTTAACAATTGGTATGGCGGTGATTTGAG